TTTATGATCTCTGAATAAGCAAGATATAATTTGATTTTACTTCTCGATGTATACATTTAAACTCTTTTCAACAAAATAATTTGTCTCTTTCAATGGAAACAGATTTATTTTATATAAAATTAATACTCATTAATTTTTATAATTTCAGGCCATCGAAAAAACCACTCTTGGCCCAACTATTTTCATCTATAAACCTTAAATTTTTTAAACAATTCCTTATTCTTTCTGAATTTCTTGTGAATATTGCACGATGGGAGTTTTTGGTCGATGGACAGCTTACGGTACATTTGGAAAGACAACACGACTACTCTTCTTCTGCACACAGCTTCTTTCAATTGTAACAATTTTTACTTCACGGAAAAAAATTGTTAATTGAATTTCCATAAAGCTTTATTCAGTGGCTTAAAAAATACTTCATAAAGAATATCATATTGAATATCTGATTGAAATTTTTAATTTAAAAATTTCTACTTTACTAAAAAATCCACAAAATTTATATCAAATATGTATCATAATAAATGTATAAAAAGTTGGATTTAAATCAAAATTTCTTCTACAGATGATTTTGTTAGCAGTGCTAATGTATGGTTGTTGGTTAGCACAGAATCGATCACAGTACGCAGAATTGCTGGGACCAAGTTTATTTGTGGATGTTGCCCGTATTATGATTGTTAGCTCAATATTTGCATTTATCAATACGAGCATATCCATTTATGCTTTAACGAAAGAAATGCGATGTTTTATGTATTCGGTTTGTTATCTCTGAGAAAGTGACACACAAAACATTATATTCATATAATTTAATAAAAATAAATTCGAATATGGTCACGGTCACGGAGATCGGTCACACCAATGCGTCATCATCTTTAGTTATCATTACGATATGCCGATCATGAATAACTACTTCGTCTACCCTAAATTGCCCAACCATATCAATTTATTTTGGATGATTTTACATGCAATCATTTATTCAGTGTAGGCGCGATGAATAGAAAAATATGGAACACATCCTTAATTTATTTTATTATTCTTTAAAACAAATACATAGAATAAAATATTGCTTTAGAAGGGATTTAATAAAATTATTTCAGTATGTAATAGCTAGCGGTGTAATATTTGTAATGATGTTTGTTGGTGGTGTTATGGGTTTTGTATTCAGATATCAGGTTTGTTTTTTTCATTTTTTAAAGATTGTAACAATAACTCTTCATTTGTCTTTTTTTATTTTGCAAAGTAGAATTGATTTGATGATTTTACGTCCATATTTCATTGAAAATTTCCCGTACATTATCAATAATTTTTATAGTTACAACATAGAATACCACTTCATCTCAAAATGCTTACATCACTGCGTGAACTTTATGGATTGCCAGAAATGGAGGGAATTACTTATGCTTGGGATGAACTTCAGAGCAATGTGAACATTTCAAATTTATTGCAAGAAACTTTTTTTCTGCAATTTTTCATGAAGTTTGAACAGTTTCTTATACTAGTAAAATTTCGATTTCACATTTCAATATAACTTATTTAGAGTGTGTTCAGGATGTATATTAAATGAATCTTTTTTAAAGTTTAATTGCTGTGGAGTAAATGGTACCGATGATTTGACTGTTTGGAAGACATCGAAATGGTTTATGCATCAGAAGGGATCCAAACAAAAACTTCCATTATCATGGTCAATTTCAAATTTAAATTTGACTAAGATTTCAATCAAACTTCGGAATTTGAACTTCCATTCGTGCAGTAAAAAGGTCAGTTTAAACGTTCCATGTCTTAATATCTTATAGCGTTAAATCGGTTCATATACACACTTTTAGCTGTGTAAATGAAATGGTCCATCGCTGTCTGGAAACCAATTTGTATCATCCGGATGAATCAGTCGTTCATACCAAAACATGCTACATGTTGCTACGATCTGATTTATTAAAAGTAATGCATGTCGCTGCTTGGCTCCTCATTATTGCCAGCATAATCATGGTATGATTCTTATCATCTGCTTGATATCGTAATATATGCAATCATTTGTTGAATCCGTAACTCATCTTCATATAAGCTATTTATAAGTAGTAAGCAATATATCTAAATTCAATACATAAAGTACTATTTTTCAAATTCAGTCCAACCGATTCTAGCTTTGAACTTTACTATTTATGTTAGCGGTCCAAAAAGTTTAAGGCCTTTTTACAGGTAATACCTACTATGTTCGCAGGAATTTATGCTCGCCTTATCAAGAAGTAGTCAAATTTGTCAAATTTGCATTGTTTGCTTCCTGTACTTCTGTAGTTATTAAGACTGATTGCAATGAATTGTGACAATACAACATTATATATTCATCCTCTATCCGGGAACGGAAGACCGCCAGTGTTCAGGCTGTATCTGCTTATAGCTCTGCAATTCAAGTTTTTAGTAATCAATGGTCATCACTGAATAAAGTGGAGTAGCTGTATAGAAATGGCCATGAGCTGATAATTTCCTTTTGATTTATACAGATGAATTGCAAACTGTGAAGCCGTAAATCTTATATTAGACTATTGGCAACTTTAATTCCTGAAAATTATGAATTTCTAGTTAAGAAATCTGCTAAGAACTAAAAATGAAGAAGGCAAGATAGATAAAAGTGACTGCGTGATCTTGTTCATTTTCCAAGTTTTTTCCCTAGGAGTGGTCAAAAAATAGGGTTTTGTCGTTATTCAATCTTCCCCAAACTTCTCGTATTGTCAAGACATGTCGTATTCTATGGCATTGGAAAATGTTATAAAACTAAAACAAGAATTTGCTTTATGCCACAAATACTAGGAGAGAACAAAAATAAATTTGGAAAAATCTCTTCCCAACAACTGGGATATTCTATACCACTGAAAATCAACCTATCAAAATAGGAATTCTTTAACAGGCAGAATAAGAATGTAAGTCACTTTAAAATATGAAATGTTAAAGATAAGTATTGGTGATAACGAAATCACAAAAAAGAAAGTTACGCCTATTTAATGAATCCATAGTAAGTTCTGTAAATGAGTTTCCATACATCTTTTTATAATATGACCAATAACTTCATATAGTTGGCTGACAAGCAGCAAAATCTAAACTGGTGGAAATGTAAAGACACTGCATATTAATTTTAATTAACTACAGTATCTACACAATGACTTTAGCAGTCAAAAGTTAATATCATTTCTATAATCCTATATATGCTCTTTGTTTCGTGAAATATTAGTTCAAACAAATAAATTTAACATCTCAAACAAAGTTTTCAATGCATTATTTTGAAGGCTGTGACTAGATAAACTGATTCTAAGCTCAAACAAGCAAAGGCATGCAATCACCAGTGAAAACCTATCAGTAGAACTAGAAAGATGTCAGCAGAATTAAGACACAATTAAAACAATGGAAAAAATATTGTTGTATCAAGAATAATATGTGACACAGCTTAATCCAACGCGAGATGTCGTTGTTCACTTTTTTTAAATTACCGGTATTGCATAAAATAATGCTGATAATTTACTGTACAAAACAGCTGCAAATTCTCATAAGGACTAAATATTTCGAAAACCTTTGCCACCCAGAAGAGGTGAAGTATTATTGCGAATTGAATCTTTTTATATTGCTGACTGATATGAATAAAAAGGCTACATCAAACAAGACCAGGTTGGGCAAATAATAAAAACGCAACAAATTTTCTAAATTTACGACATATATTTATATATGGATGTACACCAACTTGTTCTATTGCAGCACAGATTCTGCTGCCTAACTGCTTTCAGTATCTCTGTTCCATGCACAATAAGTCTGAGAAAATATAAAAGTTTTCTCCGCTGCCGCAGAGTTCTCGAGGAATAAAACCGGTTAGAAATTCATAACCTACACAACATATTTAACAATCAAATGTAGAGAGCATGACAATGATGAACTACCAACAAATAAAATTAAATCGTCGGTTGAGAATAATGATCGCTGTTGATCCGCTCTGTGACCACAATTTGCTGCTCTTCGGAAAGCCACGGTGCATTGGTTTTAAAATGTATTGGATCGAAACCAGGTATTTTCTAGAAGAAAAAATATATATGTCGCTAGAAAATCATTTTTATCAGATACCCCTGGAATGGAACTATCTTCATGAAAAATTTCACATCCCGAGCTATATAGAGAATTAAAAATTGCAAGTCGGTTACGAGTTTTATGCATTAGATGTTACCTCACATGTTCCTATTATAATAAAGACAGACAGGGAAACATCTAATGAAAAACTTCAGAAGGCGACTGAGATTTAAAAAAACTGAAAAAGTGAATCATAAACAAAATTTACTTTCCATCTTGGAGAAGTTAGAATGCCTACTGCTGCCATACATACGAACAACTAAAATTTTGAAGATTAAGTTTTCAATAAAAAATAACCGTTTCAGTTACAATGAATAAAATGAAAAACGATTAAATGAAAGAAATGGTTAAATAACATTTTGTCAACTAAAATGACTACAATCACCATAAAAGTATGGTCATTCGATTGATTATAGCAGGTTATAGTCTCTTGAAATAAACTTACAATATCCATCACCATACTATTTCCACTTAATTTGACTGTTAGTTAAACAACTGATTAATTGTCAAAAGATAACGATCTTTTCTATTTGTTTAATGCTTTCAGAAATATGTACCGTAGCATAGAAAGTATTTTATCATTTCTATCCTACACAACGTGCATGTTGAATTTTGTGAAGAAACAGACTAATATTGTAAATAAACATTTTTATAAAAAAATTTTACCAAAAGTAATCGCAAACATACCAAATAGCAGACGAATATAAGATATCCGATGGACGGGATCAAGAGTGTTACCCAAATGTACCAAGCATTCCCTAGTTTTGCGGTTATGTAGTCCGTGAAGAAATACAAATTAATAATGATTACAATACACGAGACAATTAGCGCAGAAACTTGAAAGAATCTAAATAAAAATTGCAAGATAAGAAGGGGAAAGACAAGTTATTATACGGAACAGCTTTGATACCTTAACGAAACAGAAATATGATAAATATTAGAAAATCTCTTTTTCTACAAGCCTACAATCTATTGGGACTTGCCTTTTGGATAGCAATGCAATAAGTTTTACATAATGTTCTGTTAAAGAAAGCAGAGGAAGAACAAAAGGAACCTGGAGTTGCGAAAATCGAGCATAACTTTGGCACTAGATGTGAATGTTACTACTGGGATAAGCGCAAATGGTAGTTGCAACATTTGAATACAGTTTAACAAATCGTTCATTCCCGTCAAATCACGCATACTATTTATGCGCAATGCAAGCAACAGTGCTGGCACAACTGTGATGCTACGAGTGACCAGAACTCGTTTCCAACGAGCCCAACGGATTTTCAAAAAACCCTGTAGTGCATTTATGTGAAAGAAATGCAATAACTTCAAAATCCTCATTTGTAACATTCGATCTTTTCAAATCCGAAAATAACAATAAGACAGATATATTCACATCATTTGCAGTAAATACATATACCTCCATCACAAATTGTCCAGCATAGGTACCAGCCATTGTAGAACTTTGTCCAGCTGCCCAAATACCAATACCCCAAACATAGTAAGGAACGAGACCAAATTCACAGCCAAGAAATATACCGCCTTTGTATAAATCTGATTCAGCCGTTTCATTGTTGTATGGAAATACTGTGGGATCCATAATACCCTTACGTGCGTCACAATTTTCCCTCTGCAATAAAATAAGTTTAAATAAAATTAAACCAAATTAAGTTAATAAATAAATATACAATACTACACTATAATGATAAATTCTCAATAAAGTTTTAAACTCTTATTTATTTTGAATGAGTTGGATTTAAATTCTCGTGACATGAAATTAAAACATACTATTTGGTAATTGGTCTTGCTATACAATCCATGAGCAAAAACAGCAACAACAAACACATTGATTATAAAACTACATAATAAGGCAATTCCAGATTCGATAAAGAAGTAGAAACTTGCTTCCTGGACATTGGCTTTTTTTTTCCTATTTATGTCGCGACTCTAAAATAAAGCATATTTTCTAAATTCAAAAAACATAAATTCAACCTTCAGATTTCATAGCTGAACATGGAATCTGCACAAACTTGCCAGATCACTTTTAATTTGTTTCTAACCAAATTTAAGAAAGAATGAACTGGAAGTAAACAAAAATAAACCTTAACAAGCGCAGAATGAAGGTATAAATTATGAGGCATTATGACAGCACCAACAATACTAACAGCAAGCATGAACTGGTCACGACCACAGCCTTCGCACCACGGTAAAAACATCCCTTTGAGCACAGAGAGCTGGTTCGGTTTTACTACTACATACTAGAAACATTCGTACATGGCAATTTTGTTAAAAATACATTCAGTTTATTCAAATTTCAGAGGAGATAACCCAGGAAACCTTGTGAGTGATAACTTACTTCATAACCAAAAGTAGCTCCCATAATTGCAATCAAAATTGCGAAAAGACCTTCCAACTTTCGAAACCCATAAGTATCCAGAAATAAGAACAAAAACGTATCCAGAACAGTAACGAGGACGCCGATATATAATGGAATACTGCAAATTTTTCAAAATTCTCGAATATGCCCATGAGTGATTAATGAGATACAGATCTACATGTAAATAACTTACAAGCCTTTGGTCAAAAGATAGATTGCAATCGATGTTCCAATAACTTCCTGCATATCGCTTCCAATAATTGCTATTTCAATCATTATCCATAGAATGAGCCGCGGCATTCGTGGGTAATATTCATATGCTACCTAGTAAATGATGAATTTGTTGGTTTATTCTTGAAATATGGAATATCAATAAAGCGTGAAAGCGGTAGAACCAACGCTCCTAACAAATTTTTTCGTTATCTTCCCCCGAAAAAAAAGAAAAAGACTTATTCACTTCTGCCATATGCCTTCCGCTGACAATACCCAGACGAGCGGATAATCTCTGCAGAAAGAAACCAATAATGTGTGCTGATAGTAAAATCCACAAGAGCTAAACATACAGCAATGAATTAATTATCAGACGACTGATTCAAAGTATTCCTTTTTTACTTGTTTCTTTGTAGATTTAGACTGTGATCGAAAGAAAAAATCAATAAAATTTATTGCTCAATAAAACATTAGAAAATTCACTCGATACTGAGCTTGTGATCCTGACTGCAAGTCGCTTTCAATATTTCCTGGATCCAAATAAGCTATGCTCATCAAGAATCCAGGACCCATAAAGGCCCACAACTTTCGAAAACTGAATCTCTACAAAAAATTATTCAAGACAGCTAACATTAATTCAACTAAAACAGAATAAAAAATACTGGGATTTCCTTTAATATTTCTGGACAGGAGTTACATAAGAAAAAGTCCTTAAACTTTATCAATAGAGTAACTTAAACTTTATCAGTAACTTACTGAATGTGAGACATCTGGTATTCGAACACGATGTTTAAGCATCTGAGAATCCGGATGGATAATATTTGCATTTTTTCCCAACATCGTGTCCGGATCTGCATTAAAAAACAAATACTTGATTTCATGGATTACAAATACATGCTAAAAGATACGAAATTAAATAGTGATATCACCAAACTGTAACATTCTCAATAAGGTGTATTTCAGCAGAAATTAAATTATCACTCTACTGTGATCTTGAATTAGTTTAGCTACTTTAATAAATTAATACATTAGGATCCATATTTTCTTATATCAAAAGTCTTCTAGGATTCTCTCACTGTCCCACATTTAGTATTCTCAAAATACAGCAGTTGCAAAAGTGCCATCTACTCTTTCATTTCCTATCATTTTGTAATTAAACAATCAATTGAACATAAATTTATGAAAAGTTAAACATTTTTGATGTAGCTTAAAACAGAGGAGGTAGTTTAAAACAGCAACAGTTCATAACTACTGTTATGCTTAAACATTAAATGCACTTAAGCATGCATAAGCATTTACATGTTTTTTCTAACGTTATCTACAGAGATAAACGACTGTTTGCATAAGGTACGACTGCACGTTGAAAACTACAAAGTTTATAAAACACGGCTTGAAAGTAATTGCATTCCTTGCAAAGTAATTGCACTGCTATTATGTTATTTAAATGCCTCGACATCCAAAAGTATTCCAACTTCAGTAAGTTTCTGTAAATACTTTCTTGTGAGAACGCTAAATCTATGTTTTGAATGAAGAAATAAGAAATGATTGCAAACAATACGGACAGTGAATCGATCAACATACACAGCAATACTATTCAATTATAAACAGCTATGTTTTTGCCAGCATTCGAAACTATTCGCACGTAATGCAGTGAGAAATGATTACTTTTCATTTTAAATGTGAATTTAAAAAGCAATTTTTTAAGATAGCTTGAAGCAACAAAATAAATCAAAAAAAAAGACAGTGTCTAACCCAAACCCCCTTTACACCACTATTTTCTATCCTTAACACTGCTGATTTCAGCAAAAACAAAAAAACAGGCAAATAAAAAGACTTGTTGAAAGTAATCGATTAGTAATTTAGGGAAAAATAAAACTGATTTCATATAAACTTAAATATGGGAACAAACAACATGCAAAACATAAATAAAACGAATAACAACTTGAATAAAACATTCGCGTCATACCATTTACTCAATTTCCGAAAAACGATTTCCAATCATCTCCATATGAGAAAAGATTTATAAATTCTTAGATAGTCAGTGCAAATCCCAGATAAAATGATAAAAAAATATATCAAAATTATAGAAATGTGTTGGCGAATAAGCAAGACGTTTCAGCAAAGTCTGGTTGACAGAACAAATAAAACGGCACATTAAAAAATAAAGCAGTGGCAAAGGTTAAAGTTTACTGGGATGTTTGTAACAGTCAGCAACCTATAGCAATGAAACATTGCGGTTGCAATCAAAGATTAAAGTTTACATACAATGGAATTATCTTTTTTTTTTTTAATTGCTCATGCCATAATGCTAAAACGAGATACCCCTGCGAGAAAAGAGTAATGACTATTGAATGAACTGATTTGGGACAAAGCTCAACTACTAATCGGAATTTCGAAAACAGACTATATTAAAAACTAGTGTTGTGAACGAACTGCAGTAACTCATGCAAACAATTTTTAAAAACCTTCTGCTCAAACATTTCAAAAATAAAAAATAGCGTCTCAGAAACGTAATAACTAAATCTTAATCTAGTTCTAAGAAAAAGTGAAAACGAGTTGAAACAGCGATAAAGATGACAAAATCGATGACCGAAATGCGTGCTTAGACATAAACAAATCGGAGTTAACAAGATAAACAAGAAAATTAAAAGGAATAAATGGAACAATCGAAGAAAAAAAATTCTGTAATGTATCATAAATGAGGTATTCATATATGATAAGCATGTATCACTCACTACGTAAAGATTTTCAATAGCTTATTACAGTGATGCATGTATATGTCATAATTGCATTATTTCTCGAAATGTTTAGACTATATTCTGTTGTTAAACAATTTCCGGTTTTGCACCATACAGTGCAAAACAATCCACTACGACTAACATTTTTTATTACTTAATAAAATTTTCAAATGTTATGTCTAAAAAATTGAAGGAAGCTATTTTATTAGCAAAACAATATTATATTCATATATATGTAATATAATTAAGAATCCAAATCAGCCAAATACAACTGAACTATTATAAAACTTTTTTAGGAACAATGGATACTTGTTCGAAAATTTGATGAACTTAAAAGTACAAACCATCATCATCTTCAGTAGAAGTGGAATCAGAACTAAGTAGGCACGAAGTCTCGTCAACTCCAAGCAAACCAGTGCTTCCGTACATCTCACACTTGACGTTTTTACATCGACTTACCACGTTAGGTTCTGAATAATCAAATATTTTCACAAATTTTGCAAATATAAAAGACACACTAACTGGCGAATGTTTTTATCCAGCGATCTTTCTCTGGAAGACTACATCTAACAAAAACCATACAAATTTCTTGCAAAACTGTTTAAAAAATTTAAACACCAAACTCTACAAAAAGACAACATAATTAGAGATGGCTTTTCAAGACTTAACTAGATTAATTACATTAGATATCTATAAGAGAACTTATAACTCTATTTTTGCAGTAATTAAAATATCATCCCACTGCATCACATTTGGTGGGCAATGAAAAGTACTTCTAACATCACATAACACTTCTAACATAGATAGCCAGATAAGAACTTTGGGAAATCTCCGAATAACGGTTTCTTTTTCAGACTGAAATAAAAACATGACTTTAGAAGAATAAAGTAACTATTACGTATAATTTTGAGAAACAAGACAAACATCATCAAAATACCGAATCATCTCACTTCACCTACATAATAATATACCAACTAAATCCGATCTCACTCTCCCACTAATCTCATATTGGTACGGGTCTCCAATTACTGCACAGTCAATCACAATCGCTTTTTAGTACATAAGAATTCCATTAAACATGCCCCATCTCGCTCCACCCCAACCGGATCCTGAAGTATTTCGGAGTTGGTAAGTGTCATTCATCCACCACAACAACATATTTCGGCAATAACACAGTAATGACAGCAGAAAATCGATTGAACCGGGAAGATGAAATATGGGCAATTGCACCCGGAAGACAATGCATATATCATAATCTCGCTTCTCTTTTAACTTCTGCTGGTTAGAACTCTATCGTTTAACGTGCAGTAAATGTAATTAATTAAAATGGTCCAAACGACAATAAAGTTTAAGTGAAACTGTCACCAATTATATTCTACCATATGCCATAAAAGGTACATTTTTTACACTTTAGAATGAGAATATGAATACGAACACAATCTCAAAAACAATGCCGGAAAACAATCGTTAGAAAAAACGAAGAATTGCCTTTCAGCGAGGTTATTAGGTTCTTTCGACGCTTTCCTGTATCAGGTTTGTGAAACTGCTCAAACAGACCAGTGACTTTTTTCGCATTTTTTCACCAGCAGTAAATATTTAATTTCTGACTAATTAAAAAGTGGTTCCTAGAGATCTTCCCAGTTTTTACGATTGTCGTAATTGTCCAGGAGAAATACACGCGCTGTATGCGGCTCGTATGGAAGAGCTTTCACATAAAGCGAACCGCATGCGCGAAAATGAATTTTAAAAATTAAATATAGCATAGCGATTGATCAACCCCATATTGATTAGAAGTATCAGCAGATTGCAAACCAATATACGGTAAAAATGAACATTTTACATAAATTCTCTCTTTATAAAATAACTTGTGCCACGGTTTTCATGTTCAGAGTTCCTTTTTTTAGGATGTGCAAACTTCCTCAAAAGAAATATTTTATGATAAGGTTGTTGCACTCTTCAGATCCGGTTTTAACATTCCAGCTTGCTTAGTGTATCATTTTCAAAAACTGAAATGTAATTTATTTTGACATTTTCAGATGCTATTCTGCTCCATAACATCCAATCATTAATGATATGGGAATAAAAACTGAGATATCTATGTCAGAGTTTTGTTTCTGACCATTCAAGCAAGCTATACGTGTCTAAGGTTTCCCATGATTTAAAATAAGCAGTATACTCCTCACAACGCGACCAGTGCATAAAATCTCATTCTACGACATGAAAAGAATTTCCGAAAGCAATAACAGGAAGTAATAAAAAGGTTCCTGAGGCCTTAACAAATTAGTTATGACTCACTGGATATGAATGTCCAGTACTTCGGGGTTTTACACAAAAAAAGGAGAGCGAATGAATCATGCTAAATTAAAAATTGGTGCTACGTGTGGTTTTACAATAACTAAAAAGTTCCTCAAAATACACTTAAGTGCTTGCTTGCAACTGAAAGGATGAAAAATGAGTTATAATCTAAAGAACTTTTGAAACAACAAAAAAGTTTGGCAATATTCATTACAGCGCTGAAATAACCAGCAAATTTCTTCCGCTCATAAAAATGAAGTGTTCGAAATATCGGGAAACCCGAAGTTTAGTGATATAAATTCTCGTTCATAAATAAAGATTTGTATAATTGACATTTAGATAGGAAATTTATCAATACAATTTTTACATTATCGATTGTATATCTATCATGTACTGATCTACCCAACAAGAGATATCGATCGATTTTGTATGTCTAAGAACTGTCTCAGTCCCGGTCTTACTACAATTATATATATGTTTATGTTAGACGGGACAGTCTCCTTTTGGATGGTATCGAATTGTGCTCCTTCAGAAGGGTGACGACACGTGGTGCGATCTCAAATTGGTATTACATTTCGCTTACCCTACAACAGAGTTCGTTTAGTTTTCTTGCAACTATCGACCGACAATATTCGCTAAGATTTTATCAGTCGCTTATAGCGTCAATTCCCAGCTAATAAACACTTCGATTCTGATTGTCGCGATACAATTATCGGCTCTCTCTACATGACAAAAACATTTGCGACACAAAAAACGAAGAACAAACGTTCTGCAATGAATATAAGCCAACTTCCAAAAATGCACAAATAAGCAACAATGACTGTAGTGAATGATAATATCTGTTATATAGTCATCGCGGAAAATAAATTTGTTTTGCAGAAAAATATTTTTCAGGTTGGTAATGACAACTTTATTGATAACAAACGTATTATGTTCATTTTAAATATAGAATCAACCCCGTTTCTTTAATCATATAAATCACAGTTCAAAAAAAAAGAAACACGGATCAAGAAAAAATTCAGTAATATTACACGTAGGATGGGAAACTGGCAATTCCTTACACATTCAATCAGTGATTTTAATGATCGCAATGACCATCGGAAAGGTACTCGTTTTAAGAACTCTAGGAAGAGAAAAACGCTGACTCAAAATACTAATCAACAATACTCGAGGCTGACCACTGAATTTTCGTTAATGGGTTCGCCTTTTCATCTCTCGGACTGCTCATGTTGACTGGAAGGTGATTGCGTATTTTTCCTCTATGGATTCCTAGTCATATTTAAAAACGCAACATCAAGAACGCAAAATGTCGCTCGACACGTTGGACACTGAGCTTTACCAGGCATCCACAACTCCGGACGATGTGGATCTTGCTTAGATGCAAAGATTAGTCCCATACATGTGTCACACCTGCAGAGCTACATGTATACACAATTATTTCTGAAAAATTAAAATATCGATATGGTAAAATTTTTGAGGCATAAAGGTAAGTAACTCATTCACAGTCAAATGGCTTTCAAGAATATCAGAGCGCATACCACATAGGCCTGCAGTAACATTGCGTGCAACGAGATCTAGGCCTTTCTGCATCCATATCATCTTGAACATCATTCCGACACCGCTTCCATAATTTAACATTCGACAGCTCAGTAGAACAACCCAAACATGGCTCGAGGCGCTAAAAACAGCAATGCACTGGTAATAATAAGCAAATCTGAAAATGTTTAAATAGACAAAAGTCCACTAATTACATTCGTATTTCGAGATGTTGAAAGCTTAACACTTCAATGAGAGGGGAAACAATTGAAGCATTAAAGATGAACGATATTGTTGAAACCTCGCAAGTGTTAAACAATGTATAATAAGTTTGGAAAAAGAGCCTAAGCAGGCAAAATATACAATTTTATTGGAACTAATAATTTATAAGGCACCTTCTGTTGAATCTAAAAAGTAAACAGCATCATTCATAATCACAAATATACCATCAATTCATGGATTTTAAGGTCTCATGTCAAAAAACCCGAGACAACAAAGCTGAAGGTCATTCTTACTTTAAAGTAGATAATTATCGAATTATTAGGGCTTTACTTTTCCTACATATGCTACTCTACCTGCCTCATCCATCACTACAACTGCATATCAAAATGCTGGTGAGGCCTAACACGTCATTATCAATGATGGATACTATGTAAGACAATGATTTAACAAACTTTAACTGAGGTTGAATATAGTAATATCCGATCAAAAATCTATTAATTCCTGATTGTTTCGATCAGAAAAATTTTTATCAGTCTCCGTTTTTATAATACTTAAAATTGACTTGTCTCCCAGATTTTCTTCTATTAAAACGATCTACCACGAAATACTTGAACTATAATGTCCAAAGCTGACTTCCGGCTCGTCATAGTCATACTTCGGATTCAAAGCAATTTGTTGAGTGAATGCTTCAACGAAACGCTCATTAAGTGATTGCTTCAAGACTACTTCTCGAGCCATAGCAATAGGCTTGTCTAGCTTGTTGCGCAGATCACGGAATGATTCTGTACGTATTCTAAAATAACATCTTTAGAATTAAATTACTGGAATGATGATAAACATCAAATCATTCTTTTTCATTATTAATGATAGATGAATAGGCAGAAAATGAAATTTTTCAAATAATTTGCAGGTGAACAAACTAATGAACACACCTGATGACAAATGGTTGGAAACGTTCTGTTGTACTCTTTACGCATATACTGATGAACTGCGCCGAACCACCGCTTTGCATATGATGAGAAACCTACAAATACTACTTTTTATTCAAGGCGTAAAATTATCACATTTTTTTATATTATGTAAACCGAATTTTGCAAACACAATGTTTTAACACACCAAACTAAATTGTGTAAAAAAACAATGTAAATAAAGATGTCATGAAGAAAGTGAATATGAAACAGTAAATAAGAGAGATAGAAAGACAAATAAATGACGAGTAATACCGGATGTTCGTCAGCTCTTATGGCTTCCAGTGATACATCACTCACTTGAGCACAAGTCAATGCATAGTTTGTAATGTTCAAAATCCAAGAAGATGTCATTACAACACGATCTATACCTGCAGAAAAATTACGTTCTTATTAAAATGGATAACTGAAGCTAAAAGAATAAACCAGAAATTTGAAAATCTGAAGAAATGCTGTATAAATTTACAAAAGTCAAACAAAACCAAAAATGATAAAGAGCACTGAAGATAAGTAAAATACCATTATAAACAAAAAAATAGAAGGAAAAGAAACAAACCTGTTAGAGTGATGCTTAAGGTATCTAGCATATTACGATACTCTGCGTTGATTGATTCGGCCACTTCGTGCCAACTGCTTCCGTTATTGCCAAGATAACGTTTCAAACACTGCACAGTCGGATGTTCATCAAATTTATTCCACCAATGACACAACATTATGAAGGCAGAGACTGGAAGTCACTCCGAATTATGAGAAACCGAATTTAGGTTATAAAAGAGTAAAACACAATACTAACAGATAGAATCAAGATGAAAGAGCTAGGCTACAATCTCGAACCCGTCATCCGTTGCTTACCATACAGAGTCTTTATGCACATTTCATCCTTAGAAACGTAAAATGTTTGATATGTTAGTGGAGTCATCCAATGCTGCACAGATATACGGAAACTAGCGATGAAAGGAGATATTACCTCCAGCGATGGCGATAGATGCGTAGGCACCAAACTGCAAAATGGTTTGTGGTCTAAGAGTAAATATTGTTTCTCGTAAAACCACCGATAAGTAGACGAAGTAAACTGCAAGTGAAACAAATAAACAACATGATTAAATATATAAATATGATAGGTAGAGATGTGTAAGATTAAATTCCATGAAATATGTCCTCAACCTTGAATTTCGCTAAAATATTAGATTACACTACTTAAAAAAGTAGACAAATAAAGTATCAATCATTAAATGGTGTAATATTTCTAGCATACGAATGAATAAACATGCAGACAATCTCACTGAAGAAGGCAAATAATCTGAAACAAAACAAAAGACTTACATAAAGGCAAGCAAAAATGTATAAAACGTGTCAGTACGGACCTCCTCAAATGATATCCAACAAAATCGTTTCGTTCTACACCCAAATATCCAGAAAATAATGTTTGAATAGTAAAGCCAGCACGTTGAAACTCCACTGGTGGATACACAATGCACAATGTGAATAACAAATGCAATATTGTATGCAGGAGCAATTCTTGCGATTCTGATGTCATATTCTGGAACTTGAACTTATATCTGAATTTATACTTCTCAATTTCAGACATTTTTTTTTATCCTAACTATAATTATTTCACTTTCCTTACACAATCATATTGTGCTTGTTTCTGCAATCAAGCATATTCCTCATCCAGAATGAAAACAAAAGCCATTAATCTGATGTACAAAGCAACGAAATCCATCGAAATTCCATCAGAACAGAATAAAGATAACGCGAACAGTTTGCAGAAGAGGCGTAGCTGAGATCGCAATTTTCATGGTATCCTAACTGCGCGCAGTGACATTTCAAAAATTAAGGCTTTGGCTGGGGTAGGCAGGTTTAAGGGGACTGGGCTTTTTAAGTTTACTAGAGTCATCAGATGGACGACAAAGTAGTGGTAAGGAGTAATATACATTCCTGTAAAAATGGACAATAATCAAGGTGCATGTATACAAGGTGGGATGAAGACGCTGGGCAATTTTGATGGAAATTCTAAGCCGTGTGCTGTCTCGTAATATTTCCATCACTACCAATTGATTCCTGTAAACGAATAACGGTATACTGTGGATTAGAAAATCATAGATTCCGAAATTCTCCAGCCAACATATATACTGCAGATTGCTGTTGCTATGAAATTGTATTATTACCATTTATTACTTTTGTTTATCAGAAAGAGAAGTAGAAAGATGATTGACTCTCAGGCCAAATATGGTAGCTATGAGCAAAGGAAACATGACTGAGTTCATTCGTTCTTGAATTGAATCACGTTTTATGTGTTTTCATTATTTCCTTTCCTAGCTATTTTCACAACTTAGTAATGCTAAGCAGAAAATATTGAAGGTAACTGGGAAGAGCTTCATTTTGTGATTTCCGGTCTGCAAAAGGTGTGCATTACAATCAGGAAAACAATTTCCCACTTATATCAAAATGATGTTATTCATGCTGTTCAAGAAAGCAACTTCAAAATGCTAAAAAGACTTTCAGTTAGTATTGCTGCAACCGTTCAATCGCTCAAAACGTGGGGCTATGAAGATGTTATCACAGCAATTAACCCTTCTAAATATATCAATAATGTTGTATAATGTACGGATTTCTTGATCATAAATGATACAGCACCGGGAAATGTTGATCGACTCACAAGTTTTATCATTCAGGATGTTTTTCAGAAAAAAAAGACATCCAAAAGTAAGCTGTGTAAAATTATTTTTAGCTTTTGGGTTTATTCCGTTAAAACTGAAAAGAAATTTTTTTAACTGAAAAGTAGAAGCTCATATCAGATCTTCTAGACCTTATTACGAGTACCGGTACCATCGTGCAGCTTACTTTTGTTGCGTGGAAGTAGATGAAATGTATTGTCATCTTAAATTCATTATCCCGCACAGTGGCAGTTGTACCGTTTATATCAGCTACGATTATGATAGTTCGTTTTGAGAGGTATATTCTGTTTAACATCAGAAAAAGGAGAGACGATCTAATCTTTCATTGCAGTGTATGTCATGATGTTAGTCGAGCAGTTGCCTCTGGATGCTTCTTACGATACTGATCGTAAAAAATTCAATTTAATCTCTCCGCGGATCACTGACCAATGGAGTTATATATTTGAATTACAGAACGAGGTGGGCTTTGTGGATAACAAAATGCTTAGTTAAAAGAGTGTTATTTTTTGCAGTAGTTCACATACGGCGATGCGAGTATAAAAGCAATAGAAAACAACTGTTTTATCGGTATGAATACAAAAATTAAACTTATTTGTCAGTAATACTGCTGTATTTTTATATCCGCATGTATCCAGACACAGCGCAAAATGTATGACTTTTTTTGTAGAGGTGGTTCTCAGAGTCCATTTCACTCAAGCCTACCCCAATTAGCGAAATTAGTAGCAGCCGCTAAGTGAATAGTTTTCAATTATTTTTTGTGTTCCTTTTTAAAATTTGGCTTTCTTCAAGACAAATTTACAGTGTGAACGGTGTGCCAAAATTTTTAGATTTTGTTGGGGTCTCTGTTGAATGTTTTATTAAGGAGTACTGCGAATATATCTGCTTCTGGTGTAGTCGGGCCGGTGTAGATACATATTATTTTATTGTGGGTGTTGTTGGTATCTTAATTGAGCCAGTGTAATTACATAGAAGTTGCTACGAAGATTCTGATTGATTTCTAATTCACATATCAATCCCCGATCTGTACCATATCATATTTGTCTTTTAGACAAAAATGGTTAAATAAGTTTCTACAGATAATTTTTCTTCTGTTTAACCCTTTGTGAAAATTCAAATTATAGGAAAATTTTGACTTCGGTTACGTTCTTCATTAGATTTGGAACTCTAGCATTTTTAACAAAAAATTAAATGCTTGAAAAGTAATGATGCAGTCTATGATAGACCATAATTTGCATACTCGAGGCACTTCTTTAAATCAATTAACAGTTTTAGGTATTTGATAAGCATAGAAGTATCACTAGAAAATAAAACTAACTTTCTCAAGGAGAGAGAAAAGTCGTATTTTGAAGTTTATGAGGAAATAATTGTTAAAGCATGAATTCGGCAGTGGAATTCTTGAAACCATTAGGCAACAAATGAAGGGCCATGTTACGTCAAAATCATTACCAATCGTTTCATAAAGGCGTGCGAGGTCACTTTTGCTAATTTCCAAGTGGTTTCATTTCGCATATTCCATCTTTTTTTTTCATAAAGTTTCCTTAAATTCGACCCTCTGCGACATCAAGCAACAAAAGATTATTGCGTATGTTTAATGATGGAAGTTACTATTGTGTTTCAATATTAGCAGAAGGGTTTATTTGCAAAATTTGCAAAATAATTTACCTTGTGCTGGAAGCATTACTAAGTTCTTTGTTTCACCCCAATACCAACTGGATTCATGACATTCACATGAGTAGGTGGGAAAAGGATACAAGCAAACTATTGTTCCGCTGTCCAGAAGTTCAAGGACGGTGAACCAGGTATTACAAACAATAGTGAATGAGGAATAGCTTTACATGATCAGTTTGACTGAAGAAATGATCGCGTAGCAACGTTTCTCCGTGCGCATGCAAATTTCTATCTCTTTCATGGGGGGTGCTAGATATTTGGTGATAGGCACTATTTCGCACAGACGCACGGATCGGATCTCCCGATGCGCACAAGGTAGACGAGATATTGTGCTGTAGGCGTGGTGTGAGGGTGCGTCATACTGGCTACTTTTTCTGGAGAATAGAGATGAAGAGACGTACGTTAGTTGAATATTTGGGCCGGAAACTGGCGGCCATGTTGGAGAAATATACGGGTTTAAATGTTCTCGCATTACACGTTCATACGGCATCATTAATGGTTAATGAAAAGATAAAAGTGACCAAAATCACCTGTCTAATTTTAAATATTGTGCGCATATTTAAATATGTGCATATACGCATACACATAAGCACATACGGACGCATACAATGCACTGGGCGAACTTTTGCGATGTATCGAGCTCATATTGCCTGCGTGACTAGCGGCCTCATCATTGATCGTAATAAGTTGTTGTTGAGCGCCTGAGTTTGTTTTTAGCATGAGATGGAAAATAGGAAAGAGATGGGAAGTGCTGAAGATTTTTTAGATTCCCGGAATATTCTGAGTAATTTGTGTACAGGGTGTCTTGTCATTCAGAAAAAGGTGGGGTGAGAGGAGTGTGTCTCAACTTTTGACCTCCGGTAGGATACTTCAGATAGGGGTTGAGTTACCGTTCTGTGTGCTACACTGAGTGTTCTTGACGGATTATTTTGGTCGAGTAGCATTTCCTTTCTGATATTTGCTGTTCTTGATACTTTCGCATTACCGTTGCGTGAGAAATTACTCGTGCGGTCTCGACAGGGTAAGCTGCAATTGTCTGGCACTTTGCCAATTATCGGTTTTTAATAAAGGATGGGAGTGTCTATTTTTAATAAGGATGTATGGGATGGGAGTACCTACGAGTGAACAGTCAGTCCGCCACGCGATCAGCTTCAAAACATATCTCATCTCGTGTTGTGTGATCGTGAGTATTATTTGATGTATACATAGTGATGCTTGAAATGACTAGATGTAAAAAGTGTAGCGAGATAGCGTTCTGGTCATTTCGTACTTGTAACAGTACGATGTGATTGTTCGTCTCTACCTGTTGTCTCCTCTCTTTATGAAATAGCCGGCTGGTCTCGTCATCATCTCACGTGGAAGTCTCTTACCATTTTCTCTCACTTCACTATCCTTCGATCGGGAAAGGATAAGATAGTTCTAGTTTTAAAGAAGTGGAGATAAATGACATAAGAGTATTTTGGCATCATGGGAGGTTTATTCCTTCATATTATCCGGCGTATAAACTAACTTTTATGCGAACGCTTCATTTCTCTCTTTATAGATCATTGCAGTCTGTACGGATGCAGCTGAAGGCATATTTTTGTAAAGTTAAATGAAAAGGAAACTCATAAATATAGTATTTATCAGTTTTAGAGGTTGGCCTTGGAGAAATTTTCGGCGTAAAACTTCATTTAATTTGCAAAGTTTTCAACTAATTACAACGAAGACTCGAGAAAATGGCACGTACAAAGCAAACAGCTCGTAAATCGACTGGTGGTAAAGCCCCACGGAAACAACTTGCCACTAAGGTTTCCTTATTATCACTATGGACCTAAACATGAGTACTGCAGACTGCCTCATGGCCATTTGTCGGCATTACTGTGTTTTATGTAAAACTCCATTTTAAATCTCTTGGTAGAAGCTCATTTTGCTGTACAGGTTGTGGCGTGATTTCCAATGGTAGTTAAATATTAGTAATATCACAGTTGAGAACAATTCTAGTATCGGGCCGATAATTTTTCTCTACCTCATACGTGTTTCCAAGTGTTACAGCTGATTTCGACAAAAAAAAATTCCGTTGCAGAAAATTTGGAATCACAAAAATTTCTTTTTATCGACCAGTATTTTTTAAAAAATCTTGTTATGCTACAGTTGGACTATTTGAAGAGATATAAAATTTTGTAAGTACGTAGGACTGAAATTTATATGTGAATACGTAAGTAGATATGCTTAGAGCAGAAGTTTCAGTTACATCCAGCTAAACAAGAAAAGATCTTTTTTGTTCAGGCAGCTCGTAAATCAGCACCGTCGACTGGTGGTGTAAAAAAGCCTCATCGTTATCGCCCAGGCACAGTCGCACTCCGTGAAATTCGTCGTTACCAAAAGTCCACTGAGCTGCTCATTCGCAAATTACCCTTCCAACGCTTAGTTCGTGAAATCGCCCAGGATTTTAAAACGGATCTCCGATTTCAGTCTGCTGCCATTGGTGCGCTTCAGGTAATATTTTTGTATCGTACTTCCTTAACTCTTGACAGTTACTTTATGATATACACATACTGTTATATCTCGTTGTTTGCTAATTGATTAAGTTCTAATTCCAATGCGAAGTTTATTCCGTAACATGGATTTAGACCAGTTTATAGGAAGCAAGTGAAGCTTATTTGGTGGGACTTTTCGAAGACACAAACTTGTGCGCAATTCATGCTAAGCGTGTTACCATCATGCCAAAGGATATCCAGCTTGCGCGTCGAATCCGTGGAGAACGAGCTTAAGCCTTCATATCGAGATGGAATAAATTGTACATCCCTATTACCCACGTTCCTGTCTATCAATCAAATTTTTTGATTTAAATTTCTAGTAACTACTTGCACTGGCGTAAGCATTTGTATCAGTGGAGGAACTACTATCTTTTGGAGACAACTGTATATTTCTTGCCATCACTAGTACTTTAATAAGTCATTAAGATTCTCAAGATTTTTTACTTTTCTATAATTATCAAGTTCATTTAATTCTTGGGAAAATATTAGTCATTTCTCGTAGCATTCGCGTCTAAAATCGAATGCAAGGCAGTTGATCATATGAAACATAATTTGTTCAGACTCGACTTTTTTCCTGTATTCCTACGATTTTATTGACGTGTTGACGTGTCCAATACTTGTTATCAAACAGACCCCTTATTTGATGACCTTACATTTGGGCTTTCATTTTTGTGTGTATGCAGGATTTTGGACTACAAGATGTGTGTCTCTTGCTATTTCGCTTGAGAAAAATCAATATTGCAGTATTATCGCCAGAAAATTGAGAAAATCTTCGTTAAATGACCACTCCAAGGTTAAACTAAATCTTCCTGCAGTGTTTTTTGACACGTCAACTCAGTGCACTATTTATTGGATGTGCGCACTATATCCTCTGCACTTTTTTGTGATTGACCTCAGTTACCAAAACTATTGTCATGCTGCCACTTTTTTATATTGACGCTTTTTAATCAGTGATGGAAGAACAATATTTTTTTATGCGTAGTGAACAATTACTACTATTTTATACTTGGATTTTTAAAAAAAGGTATCGGCGCTTGGCCTACAATCTTGACATAAGGTAGGATTCGATTGTATTCCATAAATCAAAACCAGACTTACTTGACTTAGGGCGTTGATTCATTCCGGTAAATGAACAGAAACTCGATGTTCATATTCTAAAAAATGATATAAACACGCGTGACTTACACTGATTGTAACTAAACGAGTATGTGAGAGAGGATGTTTGGGATGTCACCAAGGTTTAAAGTCAAGGATATGACCACAGCGTATTGTCCGCTTTATGTATTCTAGAGGCCACGCATTGGTGGTGATTGGAGAGGGAAATCGCTATGGTACTCGATGGTGACTGTCGTCGCTCCTCACTTCGTGCCTTGCTGCAGCGTCTTAACCATAGGCTATAATGGATTTAGGACGATTCTCGCACTTTCCCCAGTAGAACCCGTCCCTCATAAACCACTTTCAAATATGAACAATGTTGTTTACTCAGCATGCAAAATTCTTGTGCGTGAAACATTTCCTGGACTATCCCCTTGTGTTTTGCAGTACTGTCCCACAGGAACTGGAATTTTAATGCGCACCTCATTAACTGCGGTTTCTACTTTGAGTTAGTGTACGACAATAGGGACATCCACAACTGACGGGGATAGTTACAACCATTTAACATCGTTGGTAAGCAGTTCTATCTCCGAAGAACGCCGTCAGGCTCATGGGGCTTCAGCGATTCTCGGGTGTGGATTACAGATCACAATATTTTTTTGCTTCGAAACACTATACAACATACTACGTAGCACTACGTCGGACTACGCAGTTACCTCGAAAGTCATCGACTCGATGCGTAATTTATTTGAAAACATACATAATTTATTTTTAAAATAAACGATAAAAGCAATCCAGATATGGGAAGACATAACAACACAGGTACTCCTGGAGCTAAATTTGTGTACAGATACCTGAGCTAATAAAAGGCCAAACCTAGCTTCTGACAATTCCAATTAGATTTCACAAGTAGTACATTTTTAGATGGCAACTGTGATGCAGTCTGCTACTTTGGTTTTCTTTAAAACTGGAAAACCATCGTAGGAACCGCAGAATGCACATTTGTTATAAAGTAACCTGCTTTTCAAAAAATACGTAAATCAGATCTCTAAACTTCTAAGTTAGCTCTCTCCATGATTCTGTTGCTAGGATGGCGTAAAGTATCACAAGTGCTGAAAAAAATCCGAACACAGCATAAGCTATATACCACGTGTATCAGACATAAGATACATATAATGGTTTTAACAAGTGCTTATAAACTACCCTGTCAGCCAAAACTGCTAAAGTAATTGAGCGAAATTCAAAAGGAAGGTTGAATATGCAATATCACCAAAAAAGTAATCAATGAGTTCAAATTTCTGATTTTGAAAAATAACACGATTATTCCACCGCAATTCTAGATGATTTCACGGTTTTCGGCTGCAAATCAGATTATCAGCTATTCCGCCAAATGGCAGCAGTTCTCTTATAAATAAATATTGAATTAGACAAAGTATATAAATGGTGTATTTTAACTTCAATAATAGGAACTTTTTGTCCATATGTATATATAATGAAAGGGGGGGGGGGACTGAATATGGTTCTCCCGCATATGCCCTGCGCTTGTTTGAAACATTTGAACCGCTGATTTAAGGAAAGAAAAAATAGAAAAACATTCAATGAGTTTTGCTATGACTTCCCAGTGAATTTAAAAATAAGTTTCAGTGGTCTCTTCCTATTCGCCCAGTACTCTGCTTTCAGCTGCTCAATTGTTATCGATTCATCCAAAGCTGGAAAAAACAACTACGTCATCTGGAAACTATAGAATGATTCCTAATAGCAACAAATTTTTAAAGTGGGTCAATTCTTTCGTAGTTGAGCAATTGGAATTTAAAAAATCAATTTGTTTTCATCTAATGCCAAAAAATAAATGCACCAGTGTATAATTAGTAGGAAGGAAGGAAGCTAAAATTCAAAAAGATAATTAATCATGAAAAGCCAGTCAAATGCAGCATGTATTTATCCGCAGAATAGGTCTAATATCTATGAATCCGCCATGCATACACCAAATACCTACCATTTTCACATCTACAAGGGGGTATATACATCTTTAAATAGAAGGATAACCACTAAAATTAAGAGAAATTTTAATGAACTTACCGGTAAATGGTGAATTAATGGTAAAAACTGAAGCTGATTTCGGGTCACTGTTCCGTTCACCAACATTTATAGTTGTAAACTGACCCTCGCCCGTTTCATTTACCACCAACACATCATCAAGAGCCAAATCAGACTTTACTGGACATAGGAGGACACGCTGTAAAAGAGAGATTGATAAAGTGATCAAAAAAATACTTGGTCTCACAGGATGTAAGAATATGCATGCGCTATAATTCAGACCTTTATTTCGATCTTACTTTCAGAATTTAGTATTTGTCAAGTATTAAAATACGTAATAAATAAAAGAAATACCTTTGGTAGACAATTATCGGTACATTTTCTACCCCATTCAGTGCGTGACTCGACTCTGATTCGCTGCAGTATGTATTCACATAAATGACCAACTGCAAGCCGTAACTGTTTCAATTTCAATAACTGCCGGCGCATGTTTAAAGCAAAACTAACGAAGTTTTTCATGACTCACTTCTACTTATATTTTAGTTCAACTACAGGCATAAACTATAAAATCCTGTGCTTATATTCCAGTCCAAATGAAATATCAATTAATATATCATACATTACTGTTGTTACACTGGCTTGATAACAACCAAAATACATCATAGGAACCTGTAGTTGTTGGACATGTGATAATATATCGTAAATGTTTAGCAGCAATAGGAAGTGAGTCATCATTCACTACACTTGCATCAGGATTAAGAACGAGCTCTGATTCTATCCCTGATAATAACCGTTGCTTTCCTGACATCAACAAATATTCAGAAGAACGTGGTGACATCATCACCACATCTTCTGCCGGAACACTGCTTCCTATAGATGGCGCTAACAGCAGTCCATCACCCACTTTGGGATTCACTGCTCTTTTGACTGCAAAAACAATTTATGGAAATAGTCTCTGAATTTAATTTTATGAGAATTTCGCTTTTCAATAATGCAATTCAAGGTTGTCAACTTCATAGCTCATTAACTATCCGTTTACATTCCAAAAAACAAAGATGAATGAAAGTAGAACAGGCTTTTTTTTCAATCATAGTAAAATCATCCCTAAATGCGATTTCTTATACAACATGTTTTTCCAGATATTTAGAGGCAACAATATTGCTGACCAATCCACTCAATAATCATCAATCATAAGGAAACTTCACTTTCTTGCATTTTTTTAAATCAGTTCTTCATGACGAGAAAAAGTAAACACTAAGAAACTCCTTATTAATAATTTATAATATTATTTGTATCGAAAAAGAGTACTAACTATTTCCATTAACATGAAGTAAATTTCCGTTTGAAATCCCAGAAATTGAAGCAGTAGACGAAAGCTGAAAAAAAAATTCTAAAACTAAAAAATTACTGTAAGAATGCATTATAATATACATACACTAGATATAACCAAATATCACACGTACAAGAAAATGCAACGGGCTCTAGGTCTTACATTTACATTTGAATCGGTTTGATTTGATATCATATGCGCAGATGGACCAAGACTAGGATATACGTTTAAGCACTTTGTAGAACGCTCATTTTTACCATTAAGCTGAACATTTTTTACAGCCATTCCATTAAGCCGTTCTGCAAAACACCATTTTGACACTGACAAACAAAACTGGCATTTAATTTCCAAATTTTACAAAGGTTTTAAAGAAAACATACCATGACTAACAGATTTCTGCAAAACAACAACTGGAGTTACTTCATAATGTTTTGATACCAACCGACTGGACTGCAAATAATTAAAATGAAGGACGTTCTTATATTTCCTAGGAAAAGAATATGTTAACTAGATCTAATAAATTATTGTTGAGAGAAATAAATTTTCGAAAGATATCTCGTTTTTAAACATTAAATTTCTTTAAAGGCGTCGATGGAAGAAAAACTGTTGTTGCTAAAAACTTACTTTCATTCTGTTTTCACCTGCATCACTAAGATTTGATCTGTTTTCACCTTTTGCCGATGACGATGTTGTTGGTTGTTGAAGATTGAGATAAACATCTGAAGCAAATCTAACTGTAGTTGAAATATGGTGTCAAATATGTAAACCGTTT